GGTAGGACCCTGCTGTTGCTGCAGCTTTTCTTCCCAGGGGCATAGAGAGAATTCCAACAGAAGATGCCCCCCATTGCTGAATACCACTTGGAGACCCAAGACCCAAGTCCAAAAGTTCTACAGGCCATAAGTTGTGCATGGCAGGAGGCGAAATTGTGGGATCATGCAATACATCCTATCATGCCTTATTGCTGGTGCAGAAGAAGCCCAATTCTGGGTTCCCCTTGCACCAGCAAGAAGCAAGCTTCTGCACCTGGGAGTCCCTTCAGCTTGGAGACTTATAGCTGTAGGGACACCCCACACATCCCCACAACTGGGAGATGCAGCTGCTCTGAACTCCTAGCCTCAGGTTTGCATAGAGCTCTGTGCAGCATGCAGTATGGAGTGCCAGTTCAAGACCCATAGGCAACACCATGGGCCTTTCTTCTTTGTCCTTGTTAATGAATATTAATTAATTTTAGCCAGATTCAAAAAGCAACTAGACAAATTCTTGGAGGAAAGGGGCATCAGTAGCTCTTGAGTATGGGAGTGAGGGGTACAACATATGAATTGGAACTTCCTAGACCTTAGCTGCTAGAGGCTGTAAGTGAGAGAGGAACATTAGAAAAAAATCCTGGTCATACCTGGTTAACTCTCCCTTTCTGGATCTTCTCTATACCACTTTTTGACACAGGATGCTGGACAAGATGGGCCTGTAGTCTGACCCAGTAAATGGCAATTCTTATGTTCCTATGCTCTTAATGTAGACTATTTCTCATTGCATACACATCAAAGCTTTTTCACTAATTGAGCCTATGTGAATGCTGAATGAAGTGGACTTATGGATGCTGACAGACGCACAGGCCCATACTCTAACTCCTAGCACTTTACATAAAGTGTCACGAGGTTAGAGCAGCCCCCCTGACCCAACAGATGTTTGCCTGTTGGGCCAGGGGGCAGGGAAGGGGGAATCAGGCTCCACTTTGGAGCCTGTATAGCTGAGGAGCCTGTCTGGAGCCTCTCTCCCCTAGACCTGCTCTCCTACCTCCCAGTTCCAGTGCTTTTTGCAGGAAGGGAGGGAGAGTGAGCTGCAGGCTGGGGTTGTCTCAGCCTGAGCTGGAGGGGGACTCACAATCCACCTGCCCCCACCTCCATAGAAGCATAGAAAATTAGGGTTGGAAGGGACCTCAGGAGGTCATCTAGTTCAACTCCCTGCCCAAAGCAGGACCATCCCCAACTAGATCATTCCAGCCAAGGCTTTGTTGAGCCGGGCCTTAAAAACCTCCAGGGATAGAGATTCCATCAGCTCTCTGGATAAATTTCTCCAGGGCATCACCACCCTCCTAGTGAGAGAGATTTTCCTAGTATTCAACCTAAATATCCCTAGCTGCAACTTGAGACCATTGCTCCTTGTTCCGTCATTTTTCACCACTGAGAACAGTCTAGCTCCATTGTCTTTGTAACCACCCTTCAGGTAGTTGAAGGCTGCTATTAAATCCCTCCCTTGGTCTTTTTGGTTTTTTTGCAGGCTAAATAAACCCAGTTCCCTCAGCATCCCTCTAAGTCATGTGCCCCAGCCCCTTAACCATTTTCATTGCTCTCCCCTGGACTCTCTCCAACTTGTCCACGTCCTTTCTATAGTGGGGATCCCAAAACTAGACATGGTACTGCAGATGTGTGGCGTCACCAGTTCTGAATAGAGGGAAATAATCACTTCCTTCAATCTGGCAATGTTCCTACTATGCAGCTCAGTATTCTATTAATCTTCTTGGCAACAAGGGCACATTGTTGGCTCATATCCAGCATGTTACCCACTTTAACCCACAGGTCCTTTTCTGCAGAGCTGCTGATTAGCCAGTTAGTCCCAAGCCTGTAGCAATGCATGAGATTGTTCCATCCTAAGTACAGGACTTTGCGCTTGTCCATGTTGAACCTCATGAGATTTCTTTTGGCCCAATCCTCCAATTTGTCTAGGTCACACTGAATCCTAGCTCTACCCTCCAGCATATCTACTTTCCTCCCAGCTTGGTGTCATCTGTGAGCTTGCCAAGTGTGCAATTCATCCCATTTTGCAGATCGTTAGTGAAGATATTAAACAAAACTGGCCCTAGGACTGACTCCTGAGGCACTCCACTTGATACTGGCTGCCAACTAGACATTCAGCCATTGATCTATGACAATCTCCTTTGAGCCCAACAATCCAGCCAGCTTTCTATCCACCCTACAGTCCATTCATCCAACTCAGCTTGCTTGCAAGAATGCTATGGGAGATGGTGTCAAAAGCCTTGCTAAGGTCAAGGCATATTATGTCCACTACTTTCCCCGCATCCACAGAGCCAGTTATTCTAATATTATAAAAGCCTAAGTCTGTCCATCTGTACTGCTTTATTGGCACTCTGATTGGCTGACGGAAACAGCCAATCAGAGTGCTTCAAGCATGTGGGAGCACTGCCATGATTCCAAAGCTGTGCCTTGGACCAGGCAGAGGGTGGGGGAGCCAAGGCCAGCAGGCCTCCCCGCTCCCTGCAAGAGGCAGAACAGCAGTAGCATGGGGCATTAGGTGGCGGCACTCCGTCCCAGCCCCCTGCTCCCCCATCATTCTTCACAGGCAATTGGCTAGTCTTATTATAAAAGGCCGTCAGGTTGGTCAGACATGACTTGCCCCTGGTGAATCCATTCTGACTGTTCCTGATCACTTTCTTCTCCAAGTGCTTAGAAATGGATTCTTTGAGGACCTGCTCCATGATTTTTCTGGGGACTGTGAGTCCCCAAGTCAGGTGAGGCTGACTTGTCTGTAGTTCCCCAGATCCTCCTTCTTCCCTTTCTTAAAGATGGGTACTATATTTGCCCTTTTCCAGTCACCCAGGACCTCTCCTGATTGCCACAGGTTTTCAAAAATAATGGCCGGCGGCTCTGCAGCCACATCAGCTAATTCCCTCAGCACCCTCGGATGCATTGCATCCAACCCCAGGACTTGTACATAACCAGCTTTTCTAAATTGTTTCTAACCTGTTCTTTTATCACTGGGGCTGCTTACCTTCTCCCTAAACTGTGCTGCTAGGTGCAGTAGTCTAGAAGCTGAACTTGTCTCTGAAGACCGAGATAAAAAGGGCATTGAGTACTTCAGCCTTTTCCTCATCATCTGTTACTAGGTTGCCTCCTCCATTCAGTAAGGGACTCACTTGGTCTCTGACCTTCCACTTATTGCTAACATGTAGAAACCCTTCTTGTTACCCTTTGCATCCCTTGCTACCTGCAACTTGCTCCAGTTGTGCTGTGGCCTTCCTGATTTCATCCCTGCATACCTGAGTAATATTCTTATACTCCTCCCAAGTTTTGTCCAAGCTTCCACTTCCCGTAAGCTTCCTTTTTGTGTTTAAGCTCACCAAAGAGTTCTCTGCAAAGCCAAGCTGGTTGCTTTCCTCATTTGCTATTCTTTCTGCACATCAGAGTGGTTTGTTACTGTGCCCTCAGTAAGGATTCTTTAAAATACTACCAGCTGTCCTGGACTGGTTTCCCCCTCAGCATGGCCTCCCAGGGGATCCTGCCCATCAGTTCTCTGTGGGAATCAAAGTCTGCTTTTCTGAGGTTGTAGGTCCATACTCTGCTTCTTTCCTTTCTTCCTTTTGTCAGGATCCTGAACTTAGTTGTCTTGTAGTCACTGCTGCCCAAGTTGCCATCCACTTCTACATCCCCACCAATTCTTCCCTGCTTGTGAGCATCAGGTCAAGAAAAGTATGGCCCCTAGTTGGTCTCTCCAACACTTGCACCAGGAAGTTGTCTACAAACGTTCTCCAAAAACTTGCTGGATTTCTTGTGCACTGTTATATTGCCCTCCCAGCAGATGTCAGGGTGATTGAAGTCCCCTATCAGAACCAGGACCTGTAATCTGGAAACTTGTGCTAGTTGTCTGAAGAAAGACTCATCTATCCCCTGTATGACCATGACGCAACACACAAACATCTGAAGTCATGCAGGAGTTTCCTAACCAGCACCCAACCTCTCAGTGAAACCCAAGGAGACATGACTACAGACGTGGAACGAGAGGCTGAAGAAAAAAATGGACGTTCCAGTGACTGAGTTCCTACCACCAGTGCCTGACAAACCATGGCAAAGGTGGCAGTGTCTCAACTGCCTATGTACCGGAGTCAGACGCTCCAAGGAACTAATGAAGAAGTGGGGCAATGCCACTGGTTCTGCCACATGCGACTGCGGCACAGAGCCTCAGACTACGAAACACCTGTCGCAGCGCCCACTGCTTGAAGGCTCATGTGCAATGAAAGATTTTGCAAAGTACAATAAACAAGCGCAAACGTGTGTGATGAGATAGACATATATGGTGTAGAGACACAAGAAGAAGAAGACTTTCTTTATATACTCCTTTCTTTTCCTCTTTCTCCTCTTTATCTTTTCTAGTCTTTTGCCTTTTCTCTCTACTTTTCTGTAAATGCAGTCATTTTTCTTTGAAAGGGTATAAATTATGCAAGGCCTCCTTTCTGAGTTGATGGGACCCTTCAGAAAGTCCTTTTCTCTGATGGATAAGGTTTCCAGAAGCCACAGACTGAGCTGGCAGCTCAAATAGCCAGCTGCAGAAATGGCTTCTACACTTAAAAATCTTATAGATACAGCAGTGAAGTAAATATAAGGTTTAAGTCCTGGTGTTTTTCATGCAGGTTTCCACAGTTTACTACTACTTGGCTAATCAGTGGTACTAGAATTGCACATTTGATATTTAACCTTTATACATAAGGGTCTAACTACAGCATGACCATGCCTAGACTTCTCTCTTCCCTCCACTTTTCCCATGTGTTAAAATGGTCATTTTCGTTTTATATTGTGTTTTTTTTTTTCTTGTAGTCCTCAGAACCTGCAGAGACTAGATTATAAATTGGTCAGGAAATTAAAAAGTTACTGTTTAAAGAGCAGTTTGTTTTGAAAATGAATGTAGCATTGGATTTGGATTTGGTGTGCAATCAACAAGGGATTACCTTAACCATATGTCTGACTACAATTCTGTACAGGTAATCCGGAAGGGCTGGTTGACCATCAACAATATTGGCATCATGAAAGGAGGCTCCAAGGAATACTGGTTTATTCTGACTGCAGAAAGCTTGTCCTGGTATAAAGATGATGAGGTAAGGACATAACGATTGATGCCCATAGGAAATATGATTGTACTTATTTGCATGCTTCTCATGAAGATTGTACTTTTTGTTTGCACTGAACTTGAGTTCCTATTCCTATTTTTCTTCTAACCTAACTTACTTTAGGATATCACATTTTAGGTGACTAGTGTTCTTGCAGTTATCTATTCCTTTTGTTTAAGGGACTACTGATACTGTTGAGACTTCTATATAAGTTTTGAGAACATAAATATAATATTCCTTCTCAATGAATATAAACTTCTAATCCTTAACTCTTTTAAAATGTAAAGACAAGAATGTGCTGGAGTTTTCTGGTCCACTTTGATTTTGTTGCATCTAATATGTAAAGCAAAAGTATTGAGTTATTGTTGTTCCTATAAATAGTTAGATTCGTTTTTTAAATATTACAGCTGTGTTTCTGCTGAATATTGTCAAAGGCCTGGAATTGTGAATAACTTTTTAGTGGTGTTAACATGATTTCAAGCTTATGGTCCCTATGGTCAAGTAAATTCACTTGAGTTATGAAAGACTATTCAGTTAAGCAATAAATGTAAGTTAAAAAACCAAGTTTGTAACTATGGATAATATGTCACTTTCCAAAGCTTCTGCGCTATTTTAAATAAATTGTAACTGAATTCCTTTTGTTGGGAGTAGGGTGGTTTTGATTTGGGAGGGAGATAAGGTGTTTGATGGCAGTTCTGGAGGAAAAAATGGTTTGCTTGTTTTTGTTTTGGCTTTATAAACATCATAGTTCAGGAAACTTGGTTTTAGACACACTGGGCACATCTACACATGCATTTTACTGTGGAGTTGACTACTTAGCTTCACAGTAAAGCGTCACCATCCACACGTGCAGCATTATTAGGCTGCAGTAAATTAATTCCGATGTAGGATAGTACTGCCTGATGCATGTACTGTCCTATGACGAGTTATTTAGTATGTGCTACAGTGTACATATAGATGGTGACTGGGGATGGCTGGGGCACAAAGGTGCCACAGAGTGGAGACTGCCTGCTGGCTAGACCCACACTGTAACACCCTCATGCCTCAGCCACCCCCTTCACATCCTGGTGAACTGGAGTGGAGCAGCTCCTCTCCTGACTGGCAGGCTGACTCCCTGGACCACCTGCCAGCCAGGACTACCGTACCATGGCTCAACATGCTGTGGCCTGGGTGTACGTGTAAACGCATCTGGGAGCAATAGGCTCTGGTGCAAACTGTGCCAGAGTTTATCCAGGCATATTAATACCATGTGTAGATGCACTCACTGAGTAGAGTAGAGATCTTAAGTATACCTGACACATTGTATTAGGTCATTGCAAAGAGTGTTAATAGTAGTGTTTTCTAGAAATCATCTTTATTTTGGGATGGATTCTAAATTTGAGGTTGTGCAAGGTTAATTTGGAAGGCCCATGCCTTTGGTTAAATCTCACAGGGGAATAGGTATTTCAAATTTACACTCGGGGCTATTATGTATTATGATCAAAAATATTTTTAATAAATTAGAGTAATTAAGAACTACAATACATGTGAAAGGAGGTGATTTGGTCTTCAAAATGCTGGTAGGGTATTGTTTAGATTACTATGAGGTCATAAAAACAATAGATTCAAGAAATCAAATTTGTGGGTGTGTTTGTAAATGCTCAGGTTTGAAAGCAGACATTATTCTTATATGGCATTTTAAACATTTATTTGAGAAAAATAAGGGATGGTTAATACTTTTAATTATAATGTAGAAGTTACTGAAAATTCCAGTGAACCAAATGTTCTGCATTATAATCATATCATGGGAAAATTGTTCTTTGGTTTCCAGGGATAAGTCACTTGGTGTTTTCTTTTTTTGGTTAATAATGTTACCAGCATTTCTCCTTGGAAATATTCTTGCATCCTTAAGAGTTCAGTGATATTAACTTTTCTGGCTAAGTGCTATCTCAAGTGCTTAGAAATTCATCAAAGGTGAATTGTGGGAATTCTTGAGTTCTGTATTGAAGGTCA